TGCCCAGATTCCGATCGATTTTAGGCGTCTTCCTATGTCAAGGATCCACCGGTTGTCCCTAGTCCTTCGTGTCCACTGGGCGGGCGGAGAACAAATCAAGTTCCAGACGATCCGACTTCCCGTTTGTGACCACTTCCTCCGATCGATGGTATCCAGGGGCTCCAGGCCCCCGTGTCTTCGACGAGGCTCACCCAGGAATGCATGCAGTGGCCGCCCCCACCCTTCTTGCTTCCACTGTCTGGAGGGGGCCCAGGGCTTGGATGAGGGGCGAGCTCTCGGAGACTGGCGTTCGGCGGCCCCCTCTGCGACCCTTTCGAGGATCGTGGGTCCCTGGCCCGCGCCCGCCCGTGCCTCCTCCTTCTCCTCGAGCATCGGATTTTCTTGAGCGCTCTCATGTTTTTCCCCACCATCCTGTGGTGTCGGGTCTTCGTTTTGAAAGACAGCGCCCCGCGTTCCTCCTCCTCACTCCTCCTCCCCCTCCTCCCTCCTCCCATCCCTGCCTCTGTCCTCCGCACACGCTTCGTGGCCCCGTGGGGAGCTCCACCTGAGGCCCCAGTGGGAGGGTTCGCATTGCACCACCGTGCCCATTTCGGCACACCCCTCACTAGTTTAGTGGCCCCATTCCCGCGAGGGCCCCAGTGTCTGCGCTCGCATAGCGCCACCGCGCCAATTTCGGCACACTCCTTAGACGCTTCGTGGCCTTATAGGGAGCTTTATCGAGGCCCCGGTGGCTGCGCTCGCATGGCGCTACCGCGCCTATTCGGGCACACCCCTCACACGCTTCGTGGCCCCCGAGGGAGGGCTCCACCGAACCAGGTGCACACAACGACGGTGCCCACAACGGCATATGACCGGGCCCTTCGCCAGGCGATTTGTGTCTCAGCTGGGCCTCGCCGCCACGGCCAGACTGCTTTGATAGTTTTTGTTCGATCGGAGGCCAGCAGCACCACTTCGGGCCAGGCTGGCCCGGGGCCCAGGATCGGCGCAGAACTGCCCCTTCCCCGGCAGAGCCAGGAGATGGCACACGCCGTTCCTGGGTCCAGGATAGGCCTGGTCAGGGTCGTCTGAGGCGCCTCCTCCTCCTCCCTCCCCCTCCTCCTCCTCCTCCTCCTCCTCCTCCTCCTCCTCCTCCTCTCTCCTCCTCCTCTCCTCCTCCTCCTCCTCCTCCTCCTCCTCCTCCTCCTCCCCCCCCTCCTCCTCCTCCTCCTCCTCCTCCTCCTCCTCCCCCTCCTCTCCTCCTCCTCCTCTTCCTCTTCCTCCTCCTCCTCCTCCTCCTCCTCCTCCTCCTCCTCCTCCTCCTCCTCCTTCCCGTCCTCCCTTTGCGTGCACCTATACAGGCCCGGAGATCCGGCGACGCGACATGCGACATCCTGCGAACACCAGAGCCTGCGCCCTGGATCCCAAACTCCTCGAGCTGGATCGATACGCCAGGGGCCCAGGTCGGACGGGGCTATAGGACCAGGACTGATCCGCGCCAGAGCCTTGCGGAACGCCCCCGGAGCGCTCCGGAAGGCTCCGAGAAGGCCGCGGCGCCCGAGGCACTCCAGACCTCAGAGAATCTTGAGGTATCCATCCGATTTTTGTCCTGGTCCTGGCTTCGTCTTAGCCCCGGCCCCGCAACCCGGTGGAGACGCTGGGCGTGACGCGGTCGCGGCGCCCGGACCTCGCTCGGGGCGTGCGGCGCGCCGCGCCAACGCGGAGAGCGCTGCCTATATAGGGCGGCGTGCGCCAGCACGCAACAAAAAAAAAAATAGGGCGGCGTGCGCCAGGCTCCGAGATCTGGGCGGACTTCCACTCGGAGAGCTCGCACCTGCTGCTGGCCCACGGTGCCCCGGTGCTCTCCGCCTCCGTGGTCGCCGACCCGGGGGGGCGGTCAAGAGTCGGGGGGCGGCAAAGAGGGGGGTGATGACTAGGGGGGGTGTGGATATCATGGCGTGGGCCATGATATTTCCCCAGATTTCATGGCGCCTCTTCTTATTTCATTGCGTCCCTGACCCCCCGCTGGGCCGCGCACATTCCGCCGGTCATGATTTGCACCCCCCCCTCTTGGACACACCCTCTTGGCCGCTCCCGAAAGAGGAGGGACAGGCACCTGTGTATACAGTCGACCCGCAGAGCAAGGACAGGCATGCCTCCCAAGGGTACCCTTGCATCATTGCTTCCTGGGTCCATCATCCTTGGACACTTTCGTTGGCCGCGCCCCGCTCGAAACGCCTCGAAATGGGCGTCCAAGGGCCTTGCGTCCTTATCGCGCATCCTTACCCTGCGGGTTGACTGTACCTCGACCCTCTCCTCGTCTCCCCCAGCGAAAAGCTGAGGGCACCTGGGCCAGGGGCGCCTCTGGCAACCTGCGAGTCACCCGCAAGCCAGGACAGGTTGGGCACCAAGTCGGACTTCTGGAGGCCGCTCTCGGTTTCAGGGACCGTTGGCAAACGCGCCTGGGATGAAACACCGGCCCCCAGGAAGTGGACGAGGGGTCCAGGGGCCACGTTTTTAAACAAATCATGGTGTCGGAAGCTTGTGGGCGGGGGAGGAGGGAGTTGGAGGGACGACCGAGGTCCGAGGCCTGCTTTTGTTGTTGTTGTTGTTGAACATTATTAATTCTAAAGAATAATTATTGTTGGGACCCCTGGTGCACGGCCCCCCTGCGCCGCCTAGGCCGCAGCTACATTTTCATCATTTTCGTGAGGAAGCCTCAGGTAATTCGATGTGATCAAGATCCGGTTGTTTTGTTCCCCCCCGCTTTCCCTTGCAAAAAACACTATAAAATGACATTTCTTGTTCTAATATAATCAAATTTCAAGAATCCCTTGCAAAAAATAAGGTAAAGTGGACATTCGCGCGCGCAAGACGAAATCCTTCCAAAAGCTTAGTGTTCGGAGCGATTTTAACATAAAAACATCAAAAAACCAATGGTTTTTCAACAAAAAAATGTCAAAATCTCATCCCGCGCGCTCTTGCGGATTCGTAGGAAACCCAACACTTTTTAAACATTTCTGTCAAACGGGCTTTTGCGAGCAACTTTTTCGAACTTCTGCGACAACGGTTGCGCACCTGCCAGGGCCATCATCCCTGTCAAATAATACCATGCGGGACACATTCGTTTTTTCTTCGCGCGCGCACGCCGTCGTCGTCGGCCGCGGGGCCCTGAATAGTAGCCACGGTCGTCCGCATGCCACGAAGTGAAGTGTCCGAACGTCATAGGGCGGGAAGCTGGGTGTGGGTGGTGGCGAAGAGTCGTTTGGAAATTTGGTAGAGCTTGAACCGGCCCCCCCACAAAGTGGGGGTATTGCCCGCCTCCTATGAAAACCCTGGCACTGGTGAGAACGGAGTGTCCCCAGTCTTAAATGATTGTTGGTGTTGTTGTTGTTGTTGTGGTTGATAGTGTTGCTGTTGTTGGTGCTGCTGGTGCTGTTATTGCTGCTGCTGTTGTTGTAGTAGTTGTTGTTGTTATTGTTGTTGTTGTGTTGTTGTTGATGTTGTTGGTGTCATTGTTGATGTTGTTGCCATTGTTGGTGTTGTTGTTGCAGCTGTCATTACTGTTGTGGTTGTTGTTGTTGTTGCTGATGTGTTGTTATTGTTGTTCTTGTCATTGTTGGTGTTGTTGTTACTGTCGTCGTCGTTGTCGTTGTTGTTGTTGTTATTGTTGTTTGTGTTGGTGTTGGTGTTGGTGTGGTTGTTGTTGTTGTTGGTGGTGGTGGTGGTGTTGTTGTTGGTTGTTTTGTTGTTGTTATTGGTGTTGCCGTTGTTGTTGTTGTTGGTGTTGTTGTTGTTGGTGTGGTTGTCGTTGTTGTTTGTTTGTTTGTTTGTTTGTTTGTTTTGTTTGTTTGTTTGTTTGTTTGTTTGTTTGTTTGTGTGTTTGTTTGTTTGTTTGTTTGTTTGTTTGTTTGTTTGTTTGTTGGTTGTTATTGCTGTAATTGTTGCTGCGGTAGTTGTTGTTGTTGTTGCTGTTTTGTTCCTCCCATAGCCATCCTGTGGTGTTGGGCCCTTGTTTTGAAGAGACAGCGCTCCATGCCACTCTTCACTCCTCCTCGCCCTCCTCCGCCTCCTCCCGCTCTTCCCTCCTCCCATCCCTGCTTCTGCCCTCCGCATGTCTGGTTAGGCGTACCACTCACACGCTTCGTGGCCCAATAGGGAGCTTCACCGAAGGCCCATATGCCAACGCTCGCACACGTTTCGTGGCCCCATAGGGAGCTCCACCGAGGGCCGTAGTGGCTGCGCTCGCATGGCACCACCGTGCCCATTTCGGCACAACCCTCACACGATTCGTGGCCCCATATGGTGCTCTACTGAGGGCCCCATTGGCTGCGCTTACATGGCGCCACCGCACCCATGTCGGCACACCCCTCAGGAAGATTGTGGCTCCATCGTGAGCTCAACCGAGGGCCCAAGTGGCTGCGCTCGCATGGCACCACTGTGTCAATTTCGGCACACTCCTCACTCGCTTCGTGGCCCCATAGGGAGCTCTACCGAGGGCCCCAGTGGCTGCGCTCGCATGGCACTGCCGCGCCCACGTCGGCACACCCCTCAAACGTTTCGTGGCCCAATGCCCAAATTCCAGCGCTCGCATGGCACCACCGCGCCCTTGTCGGCACACCCCTGGCGAGGATCGTGGCCCCATCGGGAGCTCCACCGAAGGCCCACATCCGAGCGCTCGCATGGCACCACCGAGCCGATGCCGGCACACCCCTCACGCGTTCCGTGGACCCACATGGGGGCTCCACCGAGTGCCACCGACCGGATTTTGGCACACCATTCATGCGTTTCGTGTCCTATAGGGAGCTCCATCGAGGACCCCAGTGGCTGCGCTCGCAGGGAACCACCGTGCCCATTTCGGCACGCCCCTCACAAAGATGGTGACTCAATAGGGAGCTCCACCGAGGGCTCAAGTGCCATCGTTCGCATGGCACCACCGCGCCCAGTTCGGCACACCCCTCGCACGTTCCGTGGCCCCATAGGGAGCTTCACCGAAGGCCCGTATGCCAGCACTCGCATGGCACCACCGCGTCCATTTCGGCACACCCCTCACACGTTTCGTGGCCCCATCGGGTGGCACCACAGCGCCCATTTCGGCACACCCCTTTTCACGTTTCGCGGCCCCAAGAAGGTACACTCCAGTTGAAACGCGTGAAATTCTACAAGGATCCTGCAGGATCCTGCAGGATCCTGCAGAGCTGACTGACCCGGGTTTGGAATGACCCGCCCGAACAGGGGGGTAGGGGGAGGGGGGAAAGCTTCTTAGAAGCACCCTGCCCCTTAGAAGGCGCGGATCTTCTCTATAGATGTAGGGCCGCCGCCTTCTAATGAGGGGCCTTGCTTCTGAGAAGCCTTCCCCCCGCCCCCCTGCCCCCTGTGTGCGCGCCGCCACACGGGGTCGCGAATTCTGGGGCCCGCCCCCCGAAGACAGCCGCAAGACACGACGCCGGAGGTCGGGGATGGGGGGGAGGACCGAGCGGAGCAGAAGCTTCGGGACCCTCCTGGACGGACCCCGCTGGTGGGCCCTCGGCAGTCTCGGGGTGCCGCCGAGGGTTCGTTCACACACAAAGGGGCCGTATGGTTTTGTTGTCATGCAGTGTGCGCGGGGAGGAGGAGGGAGGAGGAGGAGGAGGAGGAGGAGGAGGAGGAGGAGGAGGAGGAGGAGGAGGAGGAGGAGGAGGAGGAGGAGGAGGAGGAGGAGGAGGAGGAGGAGGAGGGGAGGAGGAGGAGAGGCGAGGAGAAGGAGGAGGGAGGAGGAGGAGGAGGAGGAGGAGGAGGAGGAGAGGAGTGTGTGTGTTTGTGTGGCAGCGCGTGGAACTGCAGAACGCGTGGCGGGCCCACCGACGACGCAGGAGTGGCGGAGCTTGCTGCTGCTCCTGCTGGTGCGCCTCCTCTCCTCCTCCTCCTCCCTCCTCCTCTCCTCCTCCTCCTCCTCCTCCTCCTCCTCCTCCTCCTCCTCCTCCTCCTCCTCCTCCTCCCTCAACCACCGTCATCCTTTCTCCCTCTTTCCTCCTCCCTCCCCCCTCCCCCCCCCTCCCCTTTTTCCAAACCCTTCTCTTTCCTCTCTCTCTTCCACGCCTCCTCTTCACTCCTCGCCTCGTCGCTCCTCCTCGTCGCTCCTCCTCGTCGCTGTCCTCCCTCCACCACTTCCTCCACCCCTTCCCCCCTGCACCCCCCTCTCCACTCCGCGATCCCGCCGTGCCCAGACGCGGGCAAGGAAACATGCTCCGCTGGCTCCGCGGGCACTTCCCGCAGCGTTTCTCCTGTCCTCCCCTTCCCCCCTCCTCCCTCCTCCTCCTCCTCCTCCTCCTCGCGGTGCCTCCTCCTCCCTCCTCCCCTTCTCCCCCCTCCCTCCCTCGTCGTTCCCCCCTTCTCCCTCCCGCGTCGTTCCCCCTCCACCCCCAATCTCTCCGCCCTCCTCCTTTTGGCTTTTCCTCATTTTCATTCCCATTTTCATCCTGCTCCTCCACCTTCCTCTCCTCCTCCTCCTCCTCCTCCTCCTCCTCCTCCTCCTCCTCCTCCTCCTCCCCCTCCTTCTCTTCCCCCCCTTATCCCTCGTCGTCGCCGTCGCCGCCCTCCTCCACCGCAGCAGTCGCTCCCGAGACTCTTTCCGAGCAGGACAGCGAGGCGGAGCCGAGGCGACGATGGCTCCCTGGGAGGCTTGAGCTCGTGGAGGTCGACGAGCGAGCCGATCCCGCCCGAGGACGAGCCCTCCTCCCGGGAGCCGCCCCCGCCCCCCGCCGCTGCCGCCGCCGACCGCCGGCCGTGGGCGGCCGCCACGACGCCGCTGCCGACACCGCCGCCGCCGCCGCCGGCTCGGCCAGCGCCACCGCCCTGGCCGCCGGCGCCGCGCGGCAGTGGCCGGCGGCGCCCAGCCTCAAGTCGGGCGAGTCCCTCTACGGGAGGAGGTATCCAAGAGAGTCAACAAAATAGTCGGGGGACGAGGTTTCGATTGTTTCTGGAGTATGTTTGAGCATTCTTTGGGCTATCTTCTGGTTTTTCCCCCAAGCCCGCCTGTAGGAGGACGTGCCCGATCTAGCTAAGCCCAGCGCCAGCTTTCCAGCCCCTGTCCTTCGTGGGCCCTGGAAACGACAGGGGCGTTGTGTTACCGGTTCCGTTTTGCCGTTTTTTGCCGGTTCCGACGCCGTTTGTTCCGTCGCCGTTTTTTACCGGTTCCGGCTCTGGTCCCAATATCCAGGGGCCGTTTTCTTGCCGTGCCCGTTCGCCGTCTTTTTTTGCCGCCTCCGTGTTCCAAGCGGCACTCTTCCGGAAACGGTGCAGGCACGGCCCTGCCAGTCCCGGGGCCCATTGAGCCCCTGCCTGCTGCCGCCGCTGCTCCTCCTTCGCCTCCTCCATCTCCTCCTCCTCCTCCTCCTCCTCCTCCTCCTCCTCCTCCTCCTCCTCCTCGTCCTCCTCCATCATCTCCTCCTCCTCCTCCTCCTCCTCCTCCTCCTCCTCCTCCTCCTCCTCCATCACCTCCTCCTCCTTCTCCTCCATCTCATCCTCCTCCTCCTCCTCCTCCTCAGCCTGCCGGTCCCTGGTGCCCACCGAGCCCCTGCCTGCTGCCGCCGCCAGTGCGGCCGCATGAGCGCCCCGGAGCACGGCCGCGCGCCTCGCGCAGGTCTGCTGGAGCGAGCGGGGGCCGCGGCTGCAGCCCGTGGCGCACGGGCCGCTGGGCGGCGTCGGGCCGCTGGCGGGGCTGCGGCTGCTGGACGAGGAGCTGCTGGGGGGGGGGGATCGAGGAGGAGGAGGAGGAGGAGGAGGAGGAGGAGGAGGAGGAGGAGGAGGAGGAGGAGGACAAAGAGAAGATAGCCCCAAACTGTTCAAACATAGACAAAGAGTTATAGAAACATCGTCCCCAGACAATTTTTTGACTACCTTTGAATATTCCTCCTGTAGAGGGACATGCCCGCCGACTTCATGCTGGGGGGAGGAGGAGGCGTCTAGGCCTTTTAAATGGGGTCAGAGCAGAGGGGGTCAGAGGATCGCTCCGCATTGCCGATGCATTGGCGGTGCGGCTCGATGTGGAGCCCGATTTGCTTCGCGTCCACGTCGCCGATGCATCGCCGACGTCGACGATGCATCGCCCGGTGCATAGCCGATACATCGCCGATGCATCGTCGATGTAGCGGCGATGCGGCGAAGAGGTGGCGCCCAAAGAAGTTCCGGACACGTGGAAGGAAGAGGAGGGAGGTCGTCGTCGTCGTCGTCGTCGTCGTCGTCGTCGTCATCGTCGTCGTCGTTGTCGTCGTCGGCGGACGGTGGCATGAGCAGGCTGCTTTGCTCCACCTGGTGCTACTGGCTCAAGAGAAGGCAGCGTGTAGCAAATTATCCTGGCGAGGGGCCCAACCATACGCAACTGTGATTACCGCGTTGTGGGTGCCGCTTTCGGTGGAGCTCCCTATGAGGCAACGATCTTCGTGAGGGGTGTGCCGAAATGGGCGCGGTGGTGCCATGCCAGTTCAGCCACTGGGGCCTTCGGTGGAATTCCCCATGAGGCCATGAAACGTGTGAGAGGTGTATGCCGAAATGGGTACGGTGGTGCCATGCGAGCGCAACCGATGGGGCTCTCAGCGGAGCTCCCTATGGGCGTAAGCGCTGGTATGTAGGCCTTCGGTGGAGCTCCCTATGACGCCACGATCCTCGTGAGAGGTGTGCCAGCGCGGTGGTGCTATGCGAGCGTAGCCATTGGGGCCCCTGGTGGAGCTCCCTGGGGGGCCACGAAACGTGTGAGGGGTGTGCCGAAAGTGTTGCAGTGGTGCCATGCGAGCGCTGGTATCTTAGTCGGTGGAGCTCCCTATGGGGCCACGCAACATGAGAGGGGTGTGCCGAAATGGGCGCGGTGGTGCCATGCGAGCGCTGGCATTTGTGCCCTCGGTGGAGCTCCCTATGGGGCCACAGTCCTTGTCAGGGGTGTGCCGAAATGGGCGCGGTGGTGCCATGCAAGCGCTGGCATTTAGGCCCTCGGTGAAGCTCCCTAGGGGACACGAAACGTGTGAGCGGTGTGCCGAAACGGGCGCGGTGGTGCCATGCGAACGCTGGCATTTGCGCCTTCGGTGGAGCTCTCTATTTGGCCGCGAGGCGTGGGAAGTGTGTGCCGAAATGGGCGCGGTGGTGCCATGCGAGCGCAGCCACTGGGGCCTTCGGTGGAGCTCCCTACTGGGCCACGGTCCTCGTCAAGTGTGTTCCGAAACGGGCGCGGTGGTGCCATGCGAGCGCATTCATTGGGGCCCTCGGTGGAGCTATCTATGGGGCCGCGAAACGTGGGCGCGGCCACTGGGTCCTGCGGTGGAGCTCCCTATGGGACCACGAAGCGTGTGAGGGGTGTGCCGAACCGGGTGCGGTGGTACCATGGGAGCGCTGGCATTTGGGCCTTCGGTGGAGCTCCCTATGGGGCCACGATCCTCGTCAGGGGGGTACCGAAGTGGGCGCGGTGGTGCCATGCGAGCGCAGCCACTGGGGCCCTCGGTGGAGCTCCCTCTGGGGCCACGAAAAGCGTGAGGGGTTCCTCCGCTTTGCACTTGCTCTGCCATCTGCTACTTAATGATGGAAAGCGATGGTGACGATGATAACGATAAAAATGACGGTGGCGGTAGCGACAACGACGAAGACGACGACGATGCTGCCGACGACGATGATGATTATCATGGCTGCTGCTGCTGTGCTCCTCCTCCTCCTCCTCCTCCTCCGCCTCCGCCTCCGCCTTCGCCTCCTCTTTCTTCTCCTCCCCCTCCTCGGCGTTTGAGCACGTGCCGCCGCCTCAGGGGCTCAGAATCGAGCCCGTTAGGCGGCCGATTCACGCAGCCATGCGGTGCGTTTCGGCAAGGGCCTGATCTTCGATGGATTCTGGAGTTGACAGCTCTCCTCCAGCGAAAGCTGGCGGAAGGTTGGCAGAAACCGGCGGAAGTGAAACATCGGCGCCTCCACCGGCGGAAGCCGACGGAAGGCGGAAACGGCCTGCCGTCTCCGGGTTTTCTTTGGCACCCTCCCCACTGCATAAAGGCGGATGGTGTCCAGGATTCCGGGATTTGGCCGCCTTGGAGCTCTCTTCGGGGCCTCCTGGGGTGCTCTTGGGAACATCTTTGGGCTCTCTGGGGGCTCTCTGAGAAAGAAGGGGCGGGGAAGGACGCCTCCGACTCGGCCAGCCCGACCGCTTGCCCGGGCCGCCGCGAGGAGGAGGAGGAGGAGGAGGAGGAGGAAGAGGAGGAGGAGGAGGAGGAGGAGGAGGAGGAGGAGGAGGAGGAGGAGGAGGAGAGGGGAGGAGGAGGAGGAGGAGGGGAGGAGGAGAAGAGGAGGGGGAGGAGAAGAGGAGGGGGAAGGGGCGGAGGAGGAGGAGGAGGAGGAGGAGGAGGAGGAGGAGAGGAGGAGGAGGAGAAGGAGGAGGAGGAGGAGGAACGCCGTCGCCGCCGTCGCCACCGCCGCTGATGCCGCCGTCGCCGCCGTTCCTGGCCGTGGCCACGTGGAGAGCCCAGTCGCCCCTTGCGGGCCCGCCCCACGAGGAGGGCCCAGTTGTCCCATGAGGAAGGCCAGAGAGCCTCGAACCTTGAATCTCGAGGTCACAGGTTCGATCGATCCTCGAGGTGAATGGAGATATTACGGAGGCCTTACGAAAGGTGCCGCCTACCCTGAAGGGGAACTACGACGGACGGCGGCGGCAGCGACGACGACGGAGGGTGGCCTCTTGGGAGCCTCTTGGAGCTTCCTGGGGTTTCTTGCGGACCTCTTGGGCCTCTTGGGGGCTTCCTGGAGCCTCTTGGGGCCTCCTGGGAGCCTCTCGCGGCTGAGGGCTCGAAATGTCCGTTTGGGTCCCCTGTTTAGGCACACTCTTGGAGCCGTCTCGGGGGCTCTGAGGCCGTCTTGGAGGCGTCTTGGGCCGTCTTGGGGCCTTCTTGGTCGTTGTGGGACCATCTTGGAAGCCTCTTGGGCCGTCTTGGAGCAATCTTGGGGGTGTTTTTTTACGCGTTTTGCAAGCCTCTTGCGGGAGGCATTTGAGGGGGAGGGCGGTCCCTACGAAACGGGAAGGAATTTTAGAGAGACCGCCACCCCTAAAACGGGAAAGGATTTTAGGGGGACCGGCCCCCCTAAAATTGGATGGGATTTCAAGGAGACCGGTCCCCCTTCGGATGGGATTTTAGGGGGGCCGGCCACCTTAAAAATGACGCCCATTTTAGGGGGCCGCCCCCCTTGGGCTGAGGGCTCGAACTGTCCGTTCGGGTCATCGTCTAGGCACACTTGGAGCCGTCTCAGAGGCCTCTTAGGACCTCTTGAAGCCGTCTTGGGAGCCTCTTTGGACTTTTTGGGGGCTTCCTGGAGCGTCTTGGGGCCTCCTGGGAGCCTCTCGGGACTGAGGGCTCGAAATGTCCATTCGGGTCCCCCGTTTAGGCACACTCTTGGAGCCGTCTCGGGGGCTCTGAGGCCGTCTTGGAGGTTTCTTGGGCCGTCTTGGGGCTTCATTGGTCGTTTTGGGACCATCTTGGAAGCCTCTCGGGCCGTCTTGGAGCAATCTTGGGTTTTTTTTTCGGAGCGTTTTGCAAGCCTCTTGCGGAAGGCATGTGAGGGGGAGGGCGGTCCCTACAAAACGGGAAGGCATTTTAGAGAGACCGCCCTCCCTAAAGCGGGAAAGGATTTTAGGGGATTTTAGGGGACCGGTCCCCATAAAAATCAGATGGGATTTTAGGTGGAACGGCCCCCTCAAGAATGGCGCCCATTTTAGGGGGACCGCTCCCCTGGGCTGAGGGCTCGAAATGGTCGTGTGTGTATAGATAAAGCACACGATATATATATATATGTATATATATATATATATACATGTATATATCTCTATATATCTACAGATATGTATATCAATGCAGAGGTTGTTACCATGATGTTGATAGGTGTGTACTTATATATACACATATAAACATATAGATGAACACGTACATACATACACATATGTATGTTCTGCATATGCACACGCATCTCCATCATGTTAGTCGTCGTCACATACACAACCATCGACATTTACATGCACACACATATCCATGCATATGTATAGTGGTCACGTGCACCATATACATTTACATTCGCCAGCGCATATACATATACGTACACGTATGCATACACGTATACACATGCATGTGCATATGCGTGGGGAACCTTGCAGGGGATATGGCATGTGGCCCTGAGTGGCTCCTGGAGGTCTCAGGGATTCAAGGATATCCCAGGAGGCGACAGGAGGCAACATGATGTTCCAGTAGGTCCAGGCACCACAAGGTCCCAGGACACATATTATAATGCCCCAGGTGATCCCAGGAGGCCCAAGGGAATCTGAGCACGCCACAGGAGGTTCCAAGAGGAGGCGCATGGAGGCGCCAGGCCCTCTCAGGAAACCCGACGAGGCCTTAGGTGGTGTCAGGAGACCTGATGATGCCCTAGCCCTCAGGAGCCCCCAGGAGGCCCCAGGAAGCCCCTGGAGGATTCAGGACGCCCAGGAGTTCCCAGGAGGCGACACGGGACCCCACGGTGCCCCAGGAGACCTTGGGAGGTTTCAAGGTGCTGTGTCCGGCATGTGGTTCTGGTCGCTGGCACGGGAGGGAGGGAGGGAGGGGTGGGTGGGAGGGAGGGAGGGAGGGAGGGAGGGAGGGAGGGAGGGAGGAGGAGAGGAGGAGGAGGAGGAGGAGGAGGAGGAGGAGGAGGGGGGAGTCTGCCAGGGGCAACGACAGGGGGGGGCGGAGGGGCCGGAACACACCTGCCCACGATTGCCCGTTCCTCGCCTATCGGGGCCTGGGCACCCCGCTGCGCCCAGGAAGGTGCGGTCTCGCTTGAGAAGGTAGAGAGCCGCCTGTCGCCAATCCATCGGCCATGCAGTGCCGATTCCAGGTCAGCGTTTTCCCCCTGGGCCAGTCCTCCTCGTCGTTCCCCGCGAGGCTGGGGCAGGGGTGAGACCATCAGACTGTTTCTGCGACCGCCACCCCGCACAGTGCAGCGGAGTTCTTCGAAGTAGGTCTGCGAGCGTGAGGCTTTAGCAGCCAATGGGTCGCGAACGCGGGGAAGGGAGCTTGTCGAGGAAGCGTCACGCTCGGGCCTTCCAAAACTAGGGTTTGACTTTTTGTTGTTGTTGTTGCTGTTGTTGTTGCTGCTGCTGTTGTTGTTGTTGTTGTTGTTGTTGTTGTTGTTGTTGTTGTTATTATTATTGTTTTTGTCTGATGGTCCTGGCGTGAGTTTTGATGGTCCAGCTTCCGTGAGATGTTTGCAGCGGGGCCTCGCGCCAAATTAAACACCGTGCCTCGCGAGGAGAATGCCTCTTGGAGGCGCAACAAGGCAACAACGCGCCCAAACACTTCGAACCTCGAATCTCAAGGTCTGGTGGGTCTGGAGGCGCGAGGTCTCGGCGGACGAGCCCGGAGGGCTTCTCTCCAGGCTTTCGGATGAGCAGGAAGTTGTGGAGACATGAGGAAACCTTGGTCCGCCATGCTCCCCCTTCTTGTGTGTCCCTCCCTGAGGTCCGACTTCGCGAATAAATCACGACTGGAGCCATGGGCCCCACCATCTCTGCGGCATGTGTGTGTGTGTGTGTGTGCGTGCAGATGGTGAGATCAGGGAATGGACAGCATTGTATGTGTGCATACGGTGTGTGCGTACGGTGTGTGTGCGTGTGTGTGTGTGTGTGTGTGTGTGTGTGTGTATGTGGGCCTGGCCAGGACTTGCGTGTGTGTGTGTGTGTGTGTGTGTGTGCCAGACAGGGGTGCATTGGACAATGACTCCAGGGCCTGGAAGCCAGTGGGACACCAGCTGGGGCGTGGCCATGGACACCGCCGCCGCCCTCTTTCCTCAGACTCGGGATCCTCCAGGGTCAGGAGCCTCCTGGGCGCAGTCCTCAGCGAACGCCCAACGCCCCCGCCGCCGCCGCCGCCGTCCCCCTCGCTCGGCCCACCGCGGGCGCGCGGCGCGCCGCTCTGGGAGAGACGGCGGGCCCCGCGGCGGCGCGGAGGGGCGGCACTTTGCGACGTGCGAGGCCGCGGCGGTGGTGTTCTGGGCCTTCATGGAGCGCGCGCCGCGCCAGGCCCGCGCCCCATCTGCCCGGGGGCGTCGCGCGCGCCCGCGCCCCGCCCCAGGCGTGCTTCCACGAGATGGCCCTGGCCCGAGCCCACCATTTTTTTTCGCACGGGGCGGGGGGTAAACACACAGAGACACGCCGGTCGTTGCAAGGAGGCGTTCTTGGATCCCCAGATCCCGATCTACTTCACAAGCGCCTTCCTACCTCAAGAATCGGCACGATTCTGCTGTGTTTTGTTCTTCTCTGGGGGGGGCCTGGAGCCAATCAACTTAATCCGCCTTCCCACTTCATGTTCTTACCTACTTCTTCCGACTGACGTGTACCGTGGGCGTTTTTTCCGATGTCGGCCCTCGCAGGCCCCCTCCCTCTGGGGGGCGGGGGCTGCGCAGCGCGGGCCCCTCCCCCCTCGGCGGGGGGCGGGGGTCTCCCGAAGGGAGGGCGGCGCGGAGAGCCGGGGGGCGCCAGAGGCCCCCCCTCGGGGGGGGGCTCCCGAAAGACGGGCGGAAGGCTGTGCTCAGCTGGGGCGGCGTGGGGGAGGGTGGGAGAGACCAGGGGCGCCCTCGAGGGGGCGCGAAGCTGTTCGCGCTTCGCGCTTCGCGCTTCGGCTCTGATCCCTCCTCGTCCTCCGCTTCTCCCCCCGGGGGGCGGCGCCAGAGCGCGAAGCGCTTCGCGCCTCGCGCGTCGCGCAGCGCCAGGGCGCGATGTTCGGAGCCCTTGGGGAGACGGCGGGCGGGGCGGGCATGGGGAGTGACGTCGGCGGCGCGGGATGAGAAGGACTAGTAGTAGTAGTAGTAGTAGTAGTAGTAGTAGTAGTAGTAGTAGTAGTAGTAGTAGTAGTAGTAGTAGTAGTAGTAGTAGTAGTAGTAGTAAGTAGTAGTAGTAAGTAGTAGCAGTAGTAGTAGTAGTAGTAGTAGTAGTAGTAGTAGTAAGTAGTAGTAGTAGTCGTAGTAAGTAGTAGTAGTAGTAGTAGTAGTAGTAGTAGTAGT